TTCCCTCCCATCTTTTGATTGTTTTCCTATCAAATTGCATTTCTACAGTTCAGAACTTTTCCCTATTTCCTCCTAATCTGGTTCCTCTCTCCTGTTTTTGTCTCCTACACTCGTCTGTCCCCATTGTCAGTCTCCCCCTGCTCACTGCTTCCACATCAGCCAGGCCTTTTGCTCTGTCTCCAGCCCTGCATCCACAGCTCTCACTGCTCTCCCTCCCATGATGAGTGTACACACCTCAAACCTTGTCTCATCCTGCCTGAGTTGGGAGTGGAAAAGGAGCAAGAAACGCAAGCAGGAGTAAAAGGTGCTTGCAGGGCACAAACTGCAGGGGGCGAGGATTTGGGGATGCCAGCTCTAATGAAGAGGTAGAAAGAAGAGAGCAGTCAGGACTTAGAGCATGTGAGTGGGTGCAATGCAGGTAGTCCTTCACCCACATACCTCTGAGCTACAGGATCCTCCAGACAGGGCGAGAGGTACGTGTTTCATGTCCTGATGTCCTTTGGTGCCCCTTACAGCTCCAGAGGCACCGGACCGTCCAACCATCTCCATGGCATCAGAGACATCTGTGTACGTGACCTGGATTCCCCGTGGGAATGGCGGGTTCCCCATCCAGTCTTTCCGTGTGGAATATAAGAAATTGAAGAAGCTGGGAGACTGGGTCCTGGCTACCAGTGACATTCCTCCTTCTCGCCTCTCTGTGGAAATCCCAGGCTTGGAGAAAGGTAAGCAGGTGTTCTCCTCCCTTGCTTCTTGGAGGTCTGTAGGAAGGCTGTGCAGTCCCTGTAGGGTGGTTATTCATCTGTCACGTCATGCTTAGCCCCAGCATGTGTGAGCAAAACAAAGCCTCCCCAGCTCCAGCTTTGGATGCCATGGGGAAAAGCTGCAGATGCTTCTCTGATTTCTCCAGCTGCAAACACCAGCACAGATTTGACCTCCCTCAGGGAGGCTTGCGCATGCTTTTCTGTATTACAGGATATGGCTACTAAAGGCATTTGGTTTTGCCATTTACTAGACAGGGCAGAACTTTCCTTAGCCACAGGGAAGACAGATGGGCACACAATTCCCATTGCACTTCACATGAGAAAAGACGGCATCACTGAGCTGGGCAGCTTAAAAGGGCAACATATTTACCCCAACTTAAAGATCAGTGAAACTATGTTTGCATAAAAATTATTCAGGCTTCGAGCTTTTAACTGATGTTTATGTACTTAATTTCTGTGTAGTAGGGGAAGGACACTTTCCCATACCTGCTTTCGGGTCAGGACATCCTTTCAGGCATCTCTGAATCTGCCCACACACCTTCAAGAACTGCCACCTGACCTCTAGATCATCCAGACAGGAATTAAGGAAGGCAAATAAAAGCAGGCTCCATCTAGCACATGGCTGAAATCTGACTATTCTGTGTTTGTACTTCGACCAAAACCTCTCTGTAGGCTCTCTGCCTTCTGGAGAAGATGTAGCCCCTCTCCACAGTCAGGCCTGGGCTGACAATAGATGTTTTGGAAGACTCCAATCTCTGCAACTCTTTTATTTCTTATTTTCCCCCAGGCATGTCCTATAAATTCCGTGTCCGGGCACTGAACATCCTGGGAGAGAGCGAGCCCAGTGCAGCATCTCGGCCGTACGTGGTGTCTGGGTACAGCAACCGAGTCTACGAGCGCCCTGTGGCTGGGCCGTACATCACCTTCACAGACGCCATCAATGAGACCACCATCATGCTGAAGTGGATGGTAAGGTTTGTAGGGGTGGAGATCTCTGAACATGGAGGAAGCAGGCGTGTGGTGCCCAGCTTACATACAATCTTCCAGTTTACCACACTGGAGCCTGTCATCAGCGCGAGTGGATCTGGGATCCAAGAGCTCTCTCCAGCAAAGGAGGACTAGGCTTGGGTCACGTAGAAGTGAGGGAAGTCAGAGAGCCTAGGAAATCCTTCTCATCTGAATCCAACATTGTAAACAGGAGGATTTTGGCAGATAACCTCAGGGTCATGACCATTTTGTTCAGTAAACGCAGGTCAACAACACACATCAACAACACATGGGGTGGCTGCTTGCTCTCCTGGCCAAATTCCTGGAATCCATTAGCACCCTTTTCTGTCCCAGTAGTTTCCAGCAGATATGTCCTTCACTCTCACTTGCTGGGTAGCAGTCCTAAGTGCTAATAATCATTTATGGCAGTCCACCCTAGAGGATTTTTAGGAGTGGGCAGTATCTTTTGGATCACAAGCCCAGATCCAAGCGTTTCCAACAGCTTAGAGCTTATTCAGAGGGACGTGTTCCCTCTTCTCTCCTAGTTGCTTCTAGCCAGAAATTGCTACAGTGCAGGATGAGCACTGCTGTTCATTTAAACACAAACAGTAGCTGATAAAATCCTGGGTGAAAGACAGCAAGAACACACGGAGCTGGGACAGTACTGCCCTGGGTGGGGGAGGAACAGAGCTGTCTTCAGAAACACAAGAGTCCTGAGGTCACCAGTTCATGACAAGATGCAGTTTGTCTGGAAGCTGCCAGCCTGCTGGAGTCAAGGTGAAGCTGTGCTTGTCCTTGCCCAGCTGAGTCACTATTGCTGAGGAGGTTTTTCTCTGAAGCATTGGCTGTGGCTCCTGGAGAGAGCAGAGCACTGGATGCTTGGGGTGAAAGCTGGTCTGTAACCTGAGAGAAGCATGGCGTGAGAGCACTTGGAAGGAAGCTCTTACTGTGCAAACCAGGGGCAACACAAGGAAGATCCCTCTCCTGGGTCTTCCTGCTGTCACATTCCATTTATCTCCCCTGCTCCTCACCTAGTACAGTACGGAGAACAGACATCTCTGCTAATTTCTGCTTTCCCTCCCATTCTCTGCAGTATATCCCAGCCAGCAACAACAACACTCCCATCCATGGTTTTTACATCTACTACCGCCCCACTGACAGTGACAATGACAGCGACTACAAGAAGGACGTGGTGGAAGGTAGGAGATACCGAGAGACTGATCCCAGCTGCTGGTTCCTCCTGGAAAAGTACACAACCAGAAGGAGCCCTGTGCACGAAAGGCAGCTGCTGCTGCTGCTGTCCAGGCCTGCTTTACCTAGCACTGCTGCAGAGCTGGGCCAGCTGCATGTTCCCCAAGGAACGTAACGCCTCCGTGTGTTTGTTCCCTCCCCAGGAGATCGATACTGGCACTCCATCAGCCACCTCCAGCCAGAGACCTCGTATGACATTAAGATGCAGTGCTTCAACGAGGGTGGTGAAAGCGAGTTCAGCAACGTGATGATCTGTGAAACTAAAGGTAACCAGCTTCCCAGGGCACCTCTGGGAGCACAGCCTGCTGCCGTCCCTGCCTGCAGCTATACAGGATGTAGCACAGCAAGGCAGGTACCGTCCCTGCCTGACGGTGCATCATGCAAGCTCAGGCAAGGAGATGGAGACAGCAGCGGGAAGAAGAGACGTAGGTTTGTTGATGCTGTTGCTCAGTATGAGTATGTACCCATACCAGTACTCACAGACCCCCTGTGCAGAGTCCATCACTGTTTCCCTCAGAGTGGTTGTTACCTTTTGTATTCTTAAGGATCACACAGATGGTGACTGGAACTGGGCAGGCTAATTTGACCTTGCTGTTCCATACTCCTGTGTTTGGTTATAAGCAGGTCCCATGTTGACTTCCAAGCAGCTGCGCTGCATGATAGTCCAAGTGAGTGTTTTGAAGAAGCTATTTTCCTTTTTCCTTTTGCTTTAGCAGCCCAAGAGCCTGGAAGATCTGTAAGCCAAACACACTTGTCTGTACTGCAATATTCATCAGCCTAGGAAATCCTCTGGCATCCAGGAGCACTTCTTTAAAGCCACCATGGAAGTGTGTCTATTCCACAGCAGTGCAGACATCCCTGGAGTGTGCTGCTCTTCCACCTGCCATGTGTGTGTCTAACACTCCCTCTGTCTCTTCCCTTCGCAGCTCGGAAGTCTCTTGGTCTGCCAGGTCGTCTTCCGCCCTCAACAGTGCCCCCACAGCAGCGACCCCCACTCAGTGGTGGGCACAGTGGCCTGGGGACAGGAGCCATGGTGGCCCGTTCCAGCGACTTGCCATATTTGATTGTAGGCGTTGTGCTGGGCTCTATCGTCCTCCTTATTGTGGCCTTCATCCCCTTTTGCCTGTGGAGAGCCTGGTCCAAGCAGAGTAAGAGTTCTTTCATGAGGACTGATTTACAAGATGTTCTCTGCCCTGTTGGGTTAGATCTGACCCTGGGTGTAGTTGGGTCAAACACTCAAAATGTGAGGGCTGCACATTCTGGGAAACAGAGAGGGTGGGCAGTGGGCAAGTCCTAAATGTCCTGTGGAACCCCATGAAGACTAAGGCCACCGTTTGTCCCTTGTCCTCCTCACCTTGTTGAGACGGAACCCTGGGACCAGAGCAGGGGGAAAGGGACATTCCATTTGCCTTCGTGTAAGGCTCCTTTTCCTCCATTTGTATCCAAGGATGCTTTGGGAGCCAAAATAGTGTTTAGGCTGTCCTATCAGGCAGCTATCTCTGCTGAGCTGCAAGGAGCTCAGCTTTACCTCTGATTTGGGCCTCAGACTTCCTTTTACTTCCCTCTGCAGAGCAAACCATTGACATGGGCTTCCCAGGAGCTGGGCTGCTGGTATCGTCCTGCCAGTACACCATGGTGCCTCTGAGGGGCATCTCTGCTCCTCGTGCCAGTGGACATCCCTATGTAAACGGGCAGCCCTATGCCAACGGGGCTCATCTGAACGGCATCTGTTCCTCTGCAGGAGTGGGCTATGCAAGCACCAAGCCCCGAGATTACAGTCCAGATGAAATGCCACAGGTATGTCTACACCAGCGGTTAACGGTTTTACATGAGCTGCAGGCCGTGGTTGCAGTGAGAAGCCTTCTCCAGCCATGTCTGGCACCCTTTGCAGCATGTAGAAGTGGCAAGACTTGCTTAAAAGAGATTTCCCCTTTGCAATGGAGTCTGAGACACGGGAGGAACAGGAAAGTCTCCAAAACATTGGTGAAGAGGTGGTTTCTTGAGGCAGTGGCTCTAAGTACAGAAGAGGCAGTGAGCAAAGGCCACTTTTATGGGCCTTGTTCCTGTTTCTCCTGAGCAAAGCTCACAGAGACTGACAATGTTAAGGACTCTGGGTAAATAGTGGCACAGGCCAGGGCAGTGCCAGAGCCTGATATCATCCCCCCGTGATTCAGCAGTAAGCATGAAGTGAGTTTTTCAGTGCTCAGTTCCACTGTCCTCTGTAGCAAAAGAAACAGTTCCAGCTTTCTCTGCCTACTGTCATGAGAGCTTCACCAGTCTGCCCCACGGCTCTGGCTCCCAGATCAGCACCTGCCTCTTGATGCTGCTATGTGGCATTGCTCCGCTGAGAACCCCTCTCTCTCCTTCCAGTCACACGAGGAGAC